TTTATAACTATGAATATAAGAGTGAGTTTCTAAGTGTATTTCCTTACTCAAATATATACTAATATTATAAAGCGGAAGTTTGATTGGTAGTTAGTTTAAACGCGCTAATCTCAGGAACTACTTGTCCGATTTGAAAAATTCTTTATTTGTTGGATAGTCCATTTATAGAGGAAGATTTTAAGCTATATAACATTACGCTGTGACCAATAGGAGCGAAGTGTCACTAAGTTTTTTTTAAATCCGCACGCGGGCGAAGTCGCGGTCGAAAGCTACTATATATTAAAGGCATATCTTACCTTTATAATCCATGGCCTAGATATATGCTCTGAACTCTAAATTACACGTTTATGACTATTGAAATTTGACGGATGGGTTTATTAAAAGCTTAACAGGTTGGAAACTAACTTAGCGAACTGAACATAATATCTAATAATCCCTAGAGTCTTTAGAGGTCTCGATTATATTTGTGATACATCTACATCTACATATAGTTTCTTATAATATATTGATTTAATCGATGTATGTTATTTTAACAGTGGCAGAGCCCGCTTTAACATCTTCGCACGAATTGGCCCGGCTCGCCCGGTGAAATACCACGACCACACAGAAGACAGGCGTCAAGTGGAAGCTATTCCGCGTTACGTCTGATGAGTGTGCGTCCCGGAGGCCATATATAGTCCTCTTTCCCTTTCCACCCTCTATCTTATAAGGAAAGGATGGGAAGTAGAAGTGGACTTTCCGGATGAGAGGATGCATGGAAAGGGAAAATATTTTCTTTCTGTGCATCCTCTCCTCCGTCGATTAAAGGTAGGCAACGCTTATGCAATTGTGTATGTCTATGGGCAACGGTCACTTCGCTATTTCAGCGATTTCAGGTGGTCGACCGGTCGTTTGCCACCTACTGATATAAAAAAATCCATAGATAGGAAAACATATTGTTGGTAGTTTAAAAATGTATCTTTGATTTTAAAAATGTTTCAGCAGTGTTAACCAACGATTAAAATGTTTCCTACATTTATTTCTCACAATATATCTAGTTATCTTATTATATAATATACAGTATTTATTCTAAAGTTCTTGTTAAGACTGCCTTATTCATCATCGCTATACGTCCCCATTAAGGGGCTCGGAGTCTACCCTAAGTTAGTGGTGACTAAGCCATAGTCCACGCTGGCCCAGTGCTGGTTGACTTCACTCATATCTTTAAATTTCTTTGCAGATATGTGCAGGTTATATCACGATGTCTTATGAAAATTGAAGTCGAAATATATATTGGTACACGACGGCATTCGAACCGAGGTGCTGCAGATTACAAGTCAAGTAACCCCAGAGCCACCGAGGCTCTCATCGTACTATTATTAATGTATAAAAAAACTCAATATCGTAAGCTAAGACAACTTTGAAACTACTTAAAACAGCAACCAAACGAGGCAATTAGAAAAGTTTGTCCGTTTCAAATTATAGCAGCACAATGTAGCGCAAACAACGTTAAATGCTAAAACGCTCCATAAAACTGTTAAACTCAAAGCTTTAATTTTCTTAAGGGTCTTCGTTAATGCAATGAAAACTCAAATTGGTTACAAGTTAGACCATAATTGTTACTGTGGTGAGCTTTAAAATGTAGTAACGACTTAACTACTTAGAGTAAAAATAAGAACTAATTCGATTCTAAATATACTATTAAACTTAGTCTGATTTAAACAAAAGTGATAGTTTCATTTGATTAGAACAAAGCTTTTTTTGTACTAGAATATTAGCAGATTACCCTTAATTTACTAATCTTTCTAGTACCATTCCAAATAAGCTCTAGGCTTGTGCTAGGATATAGTTTACGACAATAGTCGAATGAAGGGATTCTAACCCTCGACCACGTGATCAGAAATTCGTAACCTTAACCATTAAGCTATTGGCGCTTCAGCTTGTTTTTCTTTATAGTTGCAGCTTTCACGTTTAAGTAACAATTATGCTTATGTAAATAGTTCGATAATAGTAATTTAAGACTAAAATCTCCGTTTAAAACATATTGTTATCTCTGTTTTGTCAAAGATAAGGACAGGGATGATGATATGTTTCATATAGAGATTTTGATCTGAGAACTAAGAACAGAACAGAATAATACAGAACTGTTCTTAGTTCTAAGTATGTTCAGAGCTAAGAATAGTTCTGTCCTGTTCTTAGTTCTATTCTGTTCTGTTCTAAGTTCTATTTTGTACCGTTCTTTTCACGTTAAAAAGTAGCCTATGTCTTTTCTCATTACCAAGACTATATGTGTAGCAAATTTGATTTAAATCGGTTCAGTAGTTTTTGCGTTAAAGAGGGACAGACAGACAGAATTACTTTCGCATTTATAATATTAGTAAAGATTAGTGTAGGTACTATAATTCTTGGCTTTAAATCATCAACCTATCTTTTTAATTTAAATGAAAAAATGACGTTGACGATAATTAATGAGCGAAACGAAATGAGATTTTTTTATGTAAATTATCTACAACTTTTTTGTTGCTTTTTTATAAATAACTAGCAGTCGCCCGTCGACTCCGTCCGCGTGGATATATAAAAAACTTAATTAGTGTAGCCCACCCATCCATCCATCCACATCACATCCATCTAAACATTCGCATTTATAATGTTAGTAAGTTAAATAGAAAGCAGCTCTTCAAGGCATAAATTCGAAAAAAATTAATAAATAGTATCCTATGTCCGTCTCCTGGCTCTAAGCTACCTCCTCACCAATTTTCAACCATTTCAGTAAAGCCGTTCTTGAGTTATAAATTGTGTAAAAAACAAGACTTTCTTTTATATATTTAGAAGATTTGTAAAAAAAAACTCGACTAAATGTAAAATGCTTATTATACTTTATAATATTATGTATGTTGAGATCTCGTTTATTTTGTTTAGAAGAAATTAAAAAAAAGGTTTACATGTTTGAAACTACGTGCACAAAATATATAATACTATGCGTCAAAAATGGAATCCTCAACACGATTAGGGTGAGCTTCCGATATTTCGGCACAGTTGCAGTGGTATAAATATCGGGAGCTCAAATAGCTTAATCGTTGTAAAAATCACGTTTCAAACAATTTTATTAGTAAACCCCACGAAAGTTTTAAATTTATACAAAAACTAGCTATCTGATACAAGAGGTATAAAATACTTAGCCCTCATTTAACGTTAGTGAAACTTAACATACTTAAAATAATTTTTTATTTTTCTATTATTAAAATATTCGAAATTTGTTTGTGCCAAGTTATAAGTTTGCAAGAAACTTAATTATCAAGTTTTACAATACTAAGTTGGAAGCTATGCTATTATAAAAGTTAAGTCCTAAGCAATTACTAAAATAATTGCATAAACAAATATAGTTATAAAAATAAAATCTTCACCATAAGCTTTGCCATTTTAAATTAAGATAATGATATCTGTAATGCCAAAGTTTTTTTTTTTTATTTAATACGAGTACAAAGACCTAGGATGTGTCCTTTTTAAAAACGTATCATAAATTAAAAAATATTCAATCGTAAAATTCCTGGGAACGCCGTAATATCTCAATCACTTTCAAAGATTAAAGTGCAAAGAACGTAAAACCGCTCCGTAGTAGAGATGAAATTAAAAAAAGAAAACCTTTCCTCTGACAAAGGCTTTGTTTAAGTAGGTTGGATTCATTGGATTTGCGTTGCGACTCAATTCCGATGTTACTTTGTTTGAATGGATTCTCGACTAGTCAATGAGATTCTGTCAAGTATATATACATCTTTATAAGACTTAACGGGTCATGGCGTTTATGAAATTCAGACATTATCATTTAAAAAAAAATATTATTATTTTTATTTAATTATAGTTAAGTTGAATGTGTCATAAAAGTGACTTAAGCGGATGCGGAGAGCTCAGACCTCAAGCATCCCTTAAGCCATTAGAGTTTTTACTTAATAAAATTAAAACTTATTACGTTAGTTAAATTAACTAGTCTATGTTTGTAAATTAAACTTTAAAGTGTGTGTTTGGTTCCGATATAATTTTGTATGTTTTTATTTTTAATTTAACTTTTTTGATTTCTGATAAATGTAGAGAAGATCTAAAAGAAAACTTGAGTCAATAATTTCTGAGTTTACAATATGGTTTTCCAAAAACGAACTTCTACAAATACTTTAAAAGATTCTGAAGTAGAATTATGCTCGCGTTATTGCTAAGTAGATATATAAAGTTATAAAATAAAATTGAAGATTCAGTATAAGATTTTTCAATCTAAAACAGCTCAAAGAGTCAACTCTACTCAACAAAGTTGGTCTGAAGTGATGCAGAGTTTGGGAAGCAGTCGTTTGTTACAAGAGTCGATAAATAACTTTCCTTTGTGAACTGCGAGTCGTCTGAACTGATAGTTCACAGAAATAAATGTTACATGTTACAGCGCATTGCGATAAATACTTGAAACAAACAATACAAACTTTAAATAGTTATGTTCAAGATAGAACCGAGACAGTGGTTAAGTTTCTTTGTATTGTTTTTAAAAGTTTAAAAAGGTTGTGTTCCTGGGAAATAAAAATATATCCGCATTATTGATTAGAAATCATTTTTTTAAAAGTGTGTGACACTGTTTTAAGAGTAGAATACTCTACGTGGCGACAAAGAAATTTACTTTGTCATTTCTCACCTAAAAACGTATGCACAACGATAGACCTGCAAGTGGCATTGAATCTTAACTAAGGCATAATAGTATTAAAGTAACTAGGCTGTAACCGATTCAATAACATTAATCACACCAGTAACGTCTTTGTAAAATTGCCACTAACGTCTTTGTAAACCACTTTGCTGTAATACTGAAAGTATAGCGGTATGCCACTTCTAATTCTCACTATCGTATCCAGGACTAAAGTGATTTAAACAATACCTCAAAAATCTAATTTAATTAAGATTTATGGTTTTATAATTTTCTGTAACATTTGTTTACATTTTTTATTCTGTGGTACTTTTTGGTTGCTCTGTGGTTTTCTTTTGGCTTGACTTGACAGCTTGACACATTGCGATTCGTTGTGAAATATTTCGGCGGTATTCTCATATATTCCAAAGTATAGAAATATTTTGAATAACTACTTAAAGAGACGGCACAGTAACACACAACCATGAATTTTTCATTTGGCCAGACCACAACAGCCGCTTCAGGAACTCCCTTTAGTACCAATACAATAACGGCAGGTACGGAAGTCGTTTTTCAAACAGCAAACATGTGAAAATAATGCACTACTACTTTTCATGAAAACTATCAAATTCATAAGTTGTGGTATTATAATAAACACAGTGGAATTTATTGCTTTTCTGTAATAAATCCAACACTTAATTTTAACACAAACAACAATCACACGAGGCGAACGTTGGTTTTTGTCATTACTTTGGTTTTATTACTAGCCTAGCATCATGATCATAGTGTTAAACAAATTAACTTGCACTAAGTGATCCGATTAGAAAGTTACTAGTGGCACAATTATACAATTGTCCAAGCTTATCTTGTAATTTAAATTTTCCAGGATCGCTATTTGGAGGAGGTGATAACAAAACTTTTCAAAGTCCATCTGGCGGTGAGCAAACAAATATTATTATTTTTAAACCTATAGAATTTTAGAAACAATTCTTAAGTTGATTAAGCAATTATGTTTTTCTTTCAGACAATAAAACAAACTTGTTCGGTTCAACCACCACAAGTTCCCAGCCATTTGGTGGATTTTCCTTTGGTGCCAAGACAACTGCACCAACATCCAATTTATGTATGTGTATTAAGTAAAACTACAACATTATTTATTTCAAACCAGCTGTCTGCATGAAATACTGTCTTCGAGTGGCATTTTTAATGGCTAAGACTAATTATTTTACTTAAAATAACAAAACATTAACATAATACTACCTCTAAATAACATCTCCATAAAAATGTCCACTTTTCACCTCTTACAATCCTTTTTTCACTTTATAACATAGCTTATGTCCTTTCTCAGGCTCTAGACTGTCAGCTAACCAAATTTCATTTAAATTGATTCAGTAGTTTTCATGTGAATGTAAGACAGATACAGAGTTACATTCTCATTTTATAATATTAGTAAGAATTTATCAAGCTTTATTCGCCTCTGGGTAGCTTCCATAGTTTTGGGATCTCTTGTTTGTACATATATAAATTAGTTATTAGTAATATTTTAATTTGTTACAGTTGCAAGTTCTACAACAACTGCCAGTTCCCCATTTGGTGCAACTAAGCCATTATCATTTGGGGGTTTGTCAGCACCACCAAACCAAACAGTTGGCAGTCCAGGCTTTGGACAGAATCCACCCAACCAAACGGTTGGCAGTACCGCTTTTGGCCAAGCACCCCCTAACCAAACAGTTGGCAGCCCTGGCTTCGGACAAACTGCTCAAACTATAGGTAGCTCCCCATTTGGTCAAGCCCCACCAAACCAAACAGTGGGAAGCTCTGCATTTGGACAAACTAATCAAACTGTAGGAAGTTCTCTATTTGGACAAGCACCACCCAATCAAACTGTTGGAAGTTCTGCATTTGGACAGACTGCCCCAAACCAAACAGTTGCTAGTCCTGGTTTTGGACAGACCGCCCCAAATCAAACAGTTGCCAGCCCTGGGTTTGGACAGACTGCCCCAAATCAAACTGTTGCCAGTCCTGCATTCAGACAGACTGCCCCAAATCAAGCAGTTGCGAGTCCAGCGTTTGGACAAGCTAGTGCTACTCAGGTATTTTAAGATTTAAACTATATAATAATAAGTACTAAAGTCATTAATTATTTCTAGAATATCTGTGTTTTAAAGTTTTTTCTGCCTAAGACACAATCTAATTTGCTTTCTTTATCTAGTCTTACATAGTTTTCATGGCAGTTTATATTATTTATTACAGAATGCCCCACAGAACTTGTCATTCGGCCAGACACAGCAGCAAACCACAGCTGCAACGGCCTTTGGTAATACTGCTGCAGGTAACAAGAATTTTTATCTTTAAATATTATAATGTGATTGTTTAGATGGATGGATGTTTGTTTGAAGGTATCTCTGGAACAGCTCAAGGGATCTCACTGAAATAAGGCACAGATGTAGAACATGGTCTGGAAGAACATATATGCTATTTAAAAGTTTTTTTAATTCCGCGCAGTCTCAGGCGACAGCTATTTATATGATATATCTATTATTTGTCTATGACATTTTTTTTCTATTTTTGACATTAGCGGCTTTGAAATGGAACTATTTTGTGACAATTTCGTTATTAATTATAATAATACTTACTCTTTCATGTTTATTTTTTCAGCAGCGCCATTTGGAGTTGGGGCTGGGTCAGGATTTTCCTTCTCGAAAGCAACAACAGCAAGTTCTGGATTCTCATTCACACCGACATTCACAATGCCAACATCCCAAACAGCTGCTGTGAGTATACATTGTTTCAATATAAAATACCCAAGTTTGTAAAGAAATATAACATCTCGCCATTTACATAAAATTAATTTAAGAATATTTTTAGAAAGGAATTGTTAAATCTATTGTTTTTAAATTATTTTTTTTATTATGTAATAAAATTGCTATTAATCTCACCATTTACCTATTTTACATTTTAATTAGCGTTATATATAAAAAGTCAAATATCAATATGGCAGCCGAGTACAAAATTTTACATGCCTTTTAACTTAATTTAGGCTTTTAATATAACAAAGAATATTTTTATTACAGACAACAACTCAAACAACACAAGCTAGCTTCTCCCTAACACCCGCATCGTCTGCGCCCAGCTTCGCCCAGAGCGCTCCGGCATTCTCACAGATGTTTGCTAAATCAACCACCTTCACACCTACCACTGCATCGGTCACCACTACTGCTGCTGCTTCTACTGCAGGTAAGATCCTACAAGGCAACTTAAGTCTTTGAAACTCAAAGTAAGAAAATGTTGCGAACTATTACGAGATAATTATTACTTTACTAGCTGAAGCCCGCGATTCTGTCCACGCGGCATGAAAAAAACATAATTAGTAGACTATGTCTTCTTCTAGACTATGTTTTATATGAATTCCAACTTCCATCGAGATACATTTAACCGGAAATACCTTCAAACAAACATCCATCTAAACATTGACATTTATAATATTAGTAAGATTTATTTATTTCATAAGTACATTGCAGATTTCTAATTTAAACTGATAGATGTAAAATATTGTTTTGTGCTTTTAACATAATAAGATATGTATGTGTAGTCTATAAAATTAGAGTCGGAGACTCAGGAGTTCAGCACTTGTGATTTGCAGATCCTGGGTTCGAATTTCGCCATGTACTAATGTGTTTTTAGGTTTTCAAATTACATATGTACATATATCCGACGTTCTTACGGTGAAGGAAATTATTGTGATTCAACCATGAAGAAATTCCAAGATATGTGATAAGGCAACATGTACTGGACCAGCTTTAACTGTGGTCTAGTCACTGACTTAGGGTAGATTCCGACCCCTCATTGGGGATATAGTGAACTAATGATTAATGTATAAAATTAAATTTAATACTTACAGCGCCATCATTCGCCACATCATCTAGCTTCAGTCTCGGTCAACAGCCAAGTTTCTTGTCTCAACCATCAGCTACCACAGCTGCGACAAGCTTTTCATTCGCTCAAAGCCAAGCCACACCAAGTTTCCCTACAAGTCAACCGCAAGTCAGCAAGCCATTGACTTTCTCAACTCAACCAACAACTCAAGCTACAAGTCTTGGCTTCTCAATACCAAGCAGTCAAGTTAGTCAAGCTGTCACTCAAGTAACGAGCCAGGCTGCACCAGCTGTAACCTCTCAAGCTCCAAAGCTTAACTTCAATGTGGCAAGCTCAACGAGCCAAGCTACAACTGTAGCTTCATCAGGAATTGGATTTGCAGCATCTCAGCCGAGCACACTTACCTTCGTTGGGTCCGCACCGACCAGTGTTAGTTTGCCATTAGGAAAGACTACGGCTACCACCACTTCTGCTACTGGTAAGTTTTACAAAAATTGTTCTGGTTTTGCTTATTATAACTAGGTTTGTACTAGAACACTCGTTAATTTTATTCAGTGTGATGGAAAGATATTTTATACAGGAAAATGACACCCGAACTATTTTATTTCACTGTTTTTGATCTTATTAAAAAGAAATTGGTATATGTATGTCATAAATGACATTGTCGCATGTAACAAATATGTCAATTTGTAGTAAAATCAAAACAATAAGAAACAATGGATTAATTTAATAAAAAATTATATAAAAGTAATGCAAAAAGATTAAAAAAATAAGTAGAAATGCACAAGTAAGGGAATTTTTTAAATTGATTAAATATTAAAAAGTGTAAAAGCAACTTCAGGATGGTATATTTATTTGTTTACAAATTTTAGGTTTTTAATCCAAACTATAAAAACTTAGAAATTGAGTAGAGTTTATGCTAATTTATTTTTTTCTTTGTTGAACCTCTAATAAACATATTTCAAATTACCAAAGAAAACATGTATAGGAAAAATTTTCGAATTAAAATTGACAATTGAGATTTGCTTCGCGGGAAAACTGACAGCTGTTTAGTGTTGCCAATAAAAACTAATATTTTTTTGCACAGATTCTGTGAAAATATCTATATCTTTTGTTATTTTTTAGCAACTCCAGCAAGCACTGGTATATCACTGGGCAAAACCACAACTGCTTCTACTACAATGACGGCACTTACCACTGCGACAACGTAAGTATACATATTTAAGTAATTTCTTGAGATTTATTACGAGAAATTAACACTAATGCCTGGTTTACATTATGCCAGTACAGTACAACAGTAGCGCTAATTGTTATTTCCATTACGCCAGTCGTAATTTTTGTTACTATCCTACTATACTGGCATAAATGACACCCTGGGGTCTAACTGGCTGGAACGATTTTGTTATTGTGGACAATGCCATAGTCAATTTTTTTTATAAAAATTAATTTATATGATTTCAGTACAACAGCATCCGGTCCTCCGCAGCCAATAACATCTATAACTTTTGCACAACTGGAAGAGAACATCAACAAGTGGACATTGGAACTAGAGGAACAAGAGAAGATATTTATAAACCAGGCCACACAGATTAATGCATGGGATAGACTGCTTATTGCCAACGGAGATATGGTGAGTACAAAATCTGTTTCACTCTAGTTTTAAGACTTCTTTACTTCAATAATCATGGTTTTCTGAGACCATAATCCTCATTTAATATCGCCAAAGACAAGACTTGGATGATGATATATTTTATACAGATATTTTGATATCAGAAACTCTCGGAAACTGGTTTATTTTTTTAAACACCATAACATTGTGACTAACTTACAGCTTGATTAAATATGAAAAGTGGCGTGTCTTTAAGTCAGTCCTTATATCTACTGTAGCATACTCCTGGGTATAGTCAGATATTTTTTACAACATTACTCCATTCTGGCAACCTGGACTACTTGACCTAGTTTAAATTCTTAGAGATAAAATAATAGTTAATTTAAACTAAGAGCTTGTAAATCTGTAGATAGTGGAGCTGAACGACACAATCCAGAGTGTGAAGAACGAGCAACAAAGCCTGGAGCATGAACTGGACTTTGTTGTTGCTCAACAACGCGAGCTGCAGGAGATGCTTGCACCGCTCGAGCGTACTTTGCTTGCTGACAACGACCGCCTCCGAGATCCCGAGCGGGAGCACATGTGAGTTACACTTACTGACTGAAAACAGCACATAGAATGTATTCCGGAGGACTGATTTTATTTCTCTTTCCTGTTTCCTTACAAGGAAATTATGGGACAGGGAAGTGGATTTGATGAAAGCGGGGATACATTTTAAGGGAAAATATTTGTAGTAAGTATGACTGTAGTCAGGGCAGCGGTCACTTCAATATTTCGGCGAATCCAAATGGCAGCTTGCTCATTTGCCACTTAATATAAAAAAAGTATTTGACGTTTTTTATCACCTTACAGGTACACACTGGCTGAAAATTTGGATACACAGTTGAGACAGATGTCAGAAGACCTCAAGGAGGTCATTGAGCATCTAAATGAGACCAACAGGAGTCAGGACACCAATGATCCTGTGAGTATTATTTACTTTTACTTTCTTTAATATAAGTAATATTACAATTGTAAAAGTTTGGATGGATATTTGTTACCTTGTATAGCCAAACAATATCTAGACTGATGACTTTTTTCTGTCAGAAACCTACATGGCCATAGAAAATGGTATAAAAAAGTTACATGACATTACAATGGATCTTTTGACAGTTTTTTGACATTGATAGAATGGTGCTAGTTAGCTGTCATATATCCACCGGTCAAGATTTTCTTATCAGCCTATAACTACAAAATGGCTGTATATAGATGAAGTTTGACATATAGAAAGACAGTCTAGAATTAAGCTTTCTTCCTGGAATGATGACACTGTTACTGTATTTTTTTTATTTAGCATAATTGTAGAATGAAATTAAACTTTACAGTTTTTTTTAATATTCTAATGATTTTCAATTTCAGATTGTTCAAATCGGACGTATATTAAATGCTCATATGTCATCAATGCAGTGGATAGATAACTCCATAGCTCAAATTTCAACTAAACTGGACCAGCTGAAAGCGACGCATGACACTTTGAGGAGAGACAACGAGAGATCCTTCCAGCTTACATATAACTAAGTTTGTAAGCAAATGAACATTTAAATTGTGATTAATTGAATTGTGAAGTGTCAATATTAATAGGTTTCCATTGTTGATTCCTTGTACAAAATATAATTTCATCCTTCTCATTCTATTTGACAATACTTGTATGGATATTTGATTTGTTCTTATAGTAAATGTAACCTTGAATTAATGTTTCAAATTAAAAGCTAACTAATGTAAACTTTTGTCTTCACATTTTTTTAGTTACTGTTGAAAATAAAAAACAATGTATGAAAACTTTTTTGTACACAATATTTAAGATTGTATTTGGAACTGTGGGTCTAGCACGAATATTTGTGTTGTACTTTACGCCTGATACGTTACGGCTGCACAAATTTTAATACTTTGTCGTCGACACAAATATTCGTGCTAGGCCTACAGAATATAGGTAACTTTACAATAAACAATTATTGTTTAGTCAATGAAGAAAACAAAACCGTTACTGTAAATGTTTTGTGCAAACATTATTACTGTGAAATGTTACACTTGAATTGTCTCAATTATATTTAAATAGAATAAGAGAGATGAAATTGTTTTATATAATTCACAATGGGTTTTTGAGACCAAAATCCCCGTTTTAAGCATATTGTTATATGTTTTGTCAAAGATAATGAATGACGATATGTTTTATATAAAGATTTTGGTCTCGGAAATCAAAAGTACATTACACAAGTGTTTCTTACCAAACTAATTATTGTAACTCAAAAGTTGCGTCTTCATTGGAAAATAAAGTTGATTTTTTTTTAATATAGTCTTATTCACAATGAAACGGACCTCAACAGAGAGATCCTTTGTACTATAAAAGAATTAAATAAGGATTTAAAAAATTAATTTACCATACTCAAAATCAATTAATCATCACATAAGCAGCCTTAGTAGCATGTTAAGCAAAGAAATCTACAATTAGGGTCTCCCATAATTATCTAAATAACAGTATACATAGAAATTTTTAGATGGATTGATGTTTGTTAGAAGATATTTCCGGAACGGCTGCATAGATCTTGATGAAATTTGGAACAGATGTAGAGTACAGCCTTGGAGAACACATAGGCTACTAATTTTATTTATAAATCCGTGCTGGAGTCAGCTAGTTACACAATAAATATGGCAGTGTAATAAAAAAACAAAAAATAATTTTAATAAACAATCCCAGTTATATAACACTGTAAATGTACATTCTCATCTGTCCGTAAACAGAGTGTGACAAGACGTTTATGTACTACATTGCAAGTGACACGGTTATGTGATATCTGGTCTGCATTTAGGAACATTGACAATTTTTTTGCGTCTACCCTACACACACATAATCTGGATTGATCCTCGTTTATTTGAGTCTCGGATTCAGAATCTGAATGCTCGATGGGACCTGAAAATGTTCTTCAGTTTATTAATACAATTAGACAATATGGATAAGCTAGTCATTGTCCGATAGCAATGGACAACCATCATAAGCAAAAAACTCTTGTTAGTGAGGAACATCTGCAAGCAAGAATAATATCCCATCCAGGTATGACTATACATATGTAACCTTTGTTTTATACAAAAGGATTGTAACAGATGGTGTAATTCTACAGTTAAAATAAACATGCCCATTACTAATATTGCTGGGCTGATTAAGATTCTATTTGACTGGGTACAATACAATACATGAATGTTGCCAGTCACATAGATGTCTTTATTGGTTTTAATTCTAAATATAAAAATACTTAAATTAGTGTTAACACATTCACCGTTGTTTTCCAAGACCAAAAATCTCTGAATAAAACATATTGTCATCCCTGTCATTATCTTTGAAAAAAACAACCACATAACTCAAGCTCGTAATCCAGAGGAGTAGGAAGATACCGCAGACCTTCATTTGGTGAGCTCCTGACATAGCTCTCCCACTTCTACATTCATATATCTTTGCATACTTTGCAAACAGAGAACGATATATTTTGAACGGGGATTTCGGTTTCAGAAACTCACTATAAATGCTAATAGGATATTCATGTATCAAAGTGAACCCGATAGCAGAATTAGTGGCAGTAAATGGCATAACAATTATTAAGAACAAAAGTTTACATACCTTCAAAAGCTTCAACTGTTAATCCTTTAAATCTAGTAGACACTTTAGCTGTGTCTGTTTTAATTTGCAATGTTAGTCTGCCTTCAGCGGAGGCTCGGATCACAACATCGGAAGACATCGTCCTCATACGATCAATTGTCGTTCGTAGTTGTTTTAATGATGGCAACTCTATTGATATCTGAAATAAGTCAATATGTAAATCAAAAGACATCTTATCTTACTATGATTATAAATGTGACTATTTCGATGGATGGATGTTTGTTAGAAGGTATCTCCAGAACGGCTGCATGGATCTCACTGAAATTCGACATAGATTTAGATCAGAGTCCAGAAGAATACAGAGGCTTCTTGTTAAGTTTTTTTTATTCCACAAGGACGGAGTCATGGGATAGTTTAACCATTTAAAAGTGATCATGGTACTCGGAGCTGGAGAATATATTTATAATGGCCATGTGTAAAATACGCGTTAGTTGTATAGTTGTGGAAATGAAGACCCTACAACTATTTTTTTACTACTAACTTACTTACTCAGAGGTGTTGGCTAATGGAATCTCTGTGATTTTCTGACATTAAAATCCCCATTTAAAACATTGTTATCTCTGTTTTGTCAAAGGTGAAAGGGACAATGATATGTTTTGTACAGAGATATTGATGTCAGAAACCAATAGTAAGTGTTTAAGTTTCATAATAAATAAGCTGGGATTGCTAAAAAATATTGGGAGGCTGGTGAAATACAAATCTCAAAGAAAAACAGGTGCTGAGTAGATGAACTAATTCTGGTCCTCTTTCTTTAGAATTTTTCCTAATACGGAAAGAGGATTTTAGAGAAAATTGTCGGGCAACAAAAAACCCTTATTTCTGTTTCTCTACTCAATCCATTAATGCTTGGTAATGAACAATACAACAATTTAATATTACTTCAAGTAGTAATTCTTTAACATCTAATAAACAGTTTCTACTTATTTCTATAAAAAAAAGTCCAAAAGTACTTACATCAGGCTTTGGCACTTGTGGTTCATAGAAATCTGACCAACATTTTCTTGGTATAACAATGGCTGGTATATCATGGGTCACCTGTCTCATTTGTTGTGATGTTGATGATGCCTGAAAATATAAATACTTAATTTCTGAATACAATACTCAACAAAATACAAATATTTTTTAATTTTGTAAGTAAAGTATAGATTTCCAAATTGTAAATCAACAATAATAGGTGTAGTACACATATAGTCAGACAAGGATAAGCAAGAATAATCATCAAGAGACAATCCCCAAAAGTGACAAACTTCAATAAGCAAGATAAATATCACAGTGCCTTGGATTCTCATATATCCAAGTTTGTTGACTGTACACCAAATTAATAAAAACTAGCTGTTGCCTGTGACTCTATTTGCATTGACTAAAAAAAGAGTAAGCTATGTGCTCTTCCACACTTATGATCAACATTCTTACCAAACTTCATGATCTGCTCAATCACTGTGGAGTTACCTTCTAACAATCATCCATCCATCCATCTAAACTTTAGCATTTATAATATTAGTAAGATAAAAGTGACAAAGATAACAGGAAATAATTACCGATTCAATTTCTAATGTTAAACATGGACATTGTTTCTTGGTTAATTTCATCTTTAAAGATTTAGCTGATTTTAGTGTCACTAGAGGTCTTGATAAATTCACTTAAATTATAAAAAAATATTAGAATTTACTGTAATAGAACTTATATTAATTACGGGTAAATGGCTTTACTGATCATATAAATACATTTGTTCCTATGTTTTATTGGAATTGATTATTTTTGGTAGACAATAACATTATATAAATAAATGAAAATAATATTTTTTTACCAACTAACTTGTGGATGTTTTTCACACATGTTAACATTGTCTAGATGATTTCTACCAATCGCTATAAATAAAGTCCCTTTAAGTTGGATGAGATTAAAAAAAAAATCTATCAAACAAATTCAAGACTGCAAAGTATATTCTTTCTTGAGTAAAACAAAAACTTTATTGTACTTACGCAGATTTAAATATTAATATTTTTATGTTCCTCACAGTTTAAAGTTACCTGAACTGAATCCTAAGTATATATCTTTGTGTTCATCATCTACCCCTATTAATTGATATTCAGAAAAGAACATCATCTGTGGTATTTCACACCAAAGTACAGGAGGAGCAGGGCCACTTGAATCATCATTCACTATAAAATAGATCTTCTCACTTGACAATCTTAACACACACTCTTTTGATAACTTCGAAATAGTAGTCACAATATCTAAAAACAGAACAAGGTGGTTTCACTTAATTACTAAACTAACATTATAATAGCATAATAGCATTAACACAGAATTTAAATAATAAGCACTAGAAAATTCTCTCATTGGCGCTGAATCGATCATAACCGCTCGAAACTTCATTATATTAACTTTAAAATCTTAATAAAAGTTATGAAAACTTTCTACTTTGTTTTAATTCAATGAAGTTTAATTCGCGGGTAAAATAAAAATGAACTAAAAACGAAATGACATGACAGCAAGAGGTAGACCACAGATCATAAACAATTTTGCAACATAAAATTACCTCTGTGTATAACGGATGGCGGCGATGCAGCAAAATGAAACACATTATTTTCAATATGGGTGCGCACTGTACGTTCGACGGACGACATTCGACTGCCCAGAGCCGACCACCCTCCAAATTCACTTTATTTTTAATATTCAAAAACTACCAACTATATTTTCATCTACCTTGGTATAAGTTAGTAGTTTACAGATAACAAATAGTAGTTATTGAAATGATGTAGAATATAACATAATAAACATTAATACAAAGAAAATAAAAAAAATACAGTGCTACAATTTAGTTAAGTTAAATTACATAATATATTGTGAAGGCTTTTAAATTCCATCGTCAACACCGCCCCCTAGTGCTGACTCCTCAGCACTCCATACTTATACATCAAGCAATGTTACTCTAGTAACTGGACGCTTTAACACGCCCGTGCGCATTCGCACATCAACGCAACGCACTCTGCCGTCCTCGCCGGCATGGGCCGCACTCACTACGCCATGCCTCCACGACCCGCGTTCTAATTGAGGATCGACTATCAATACATAATGATAATGCTTTTGCCTCGCTATTCCATTTTTGCCTAGGTAATAATGCTGGGAGATATTCTTTTAACCAACGACTCCAAAACATATCTGTAAGCCTCTGTGCTACACGCCAACGCTTGCCTAGATTACAAAGGTCACCGTTATCGTACTTACTGAAAGGAGTTCCACTTGACGATGTACCTATTAGAAAATGGTTAGGAGTTAAAGCTTCTGGGTAATCTGGGTAATGAAGACGATCAAAATTCAGCTCCTGGAGACTGAGCTTAAGCTCAACATCTGCACCTCTAAAATTGGTTCCATTATCAGAGTACAAGGTCTCAGGGGTACCTCTACGTGCAATCATCCGCCGTATGGCCATTATCGGTTGACAAGCTCTCGGATAATTCTATGTGCTTCTCTATGTGCTTGAAAGAATCAATTTCCAAAGAAAAACTATCTGATTGATTTTTTTTTAATAATAGTTCTTCTGCCCTTGACATAAGATCTACATTAAAAGTTACCTTTCTTCTGTGGCATCTATCTACAAACATAGTACTCGGGCTGTCGAGCGGAGCAATCGTTTCCAGGATGAGAACCTTTCTTCATCTGGTAAACACGAAGCGAGGTTAGTTGGAGCGCTAGCACTGATAGTGTTAACACTACGTTGCTCGCAAGCTACCTCGTCGGATATTTTTTCTGAGCTGTATAGGTCTGCGGGCCAACTCACCTCGGGAAGTCGAAGGTTTGCTGGTCCCTGGAACCACTGATTGTCAATAGTGAGCGGTGGCGCGTCCTCACGCGTGGCAACGTCTGCTACGTTCAAGCCTGTTGGTACGTACCTCCATTCAATGACGCGTGTCAGCTCGTCTATCTCGCCCAACCTGTGGGCAACGTACGGTTTGAACGTACGTGGATCGCTTCTGATCCATTGCAGGACAGTTTTAGAATCTGTCCAAAATACCGTCTAGTCGGTATGATGACGGTGTGCTCCGTCCGAACCGTGCTCGTCAAACGTGCAGCTAGCAGTGCTGCTTGGAGTTCCAACCGGGGTACTGACACCGGTCGTAACGGGCTCACTCGACTTTTGCTAGTAACAAAACAAACAAACACCTTACCATCCGTGCGAATAAATCGCCAATAAACAACAGCTGCATATGCCTTCAATGAGGCATCGCAAAATATATGCATCTCGGTGTCGATTATTCGATCAGGACTGATTCTGTTTGGGGATAACAATCAGACCGCGTACCAGTGTTGTTGTACCAACGCGGGATACGAAGTTGTGCTAATAATTTTAAATCGTTAAGCCATTTTAAAAAACATTCATAATCTTTTATGTGGATAGGGCAATTCCAGCCTACTCCACTCCTATGTACATTTTGTAAAATTATTTTACCCTTTATTGTTATAGGCGTTATAAATCCTTGCATGTCATATACAGACATAATTAAACTTAACATCTTAGCTTTAATTGGTGGTTCACTACCATTAAGTACATTATCCGATAAGTGGTTAAATGAAATATTAAATAAAAATGTGTCATCTGAGGGATGCCACATCAATCCTAATGTGCGCTCGACTACATCTGTGGCGCCGTCTTTAAGTTGAATCGCGCTGTTAGCTAATGACTCATTGGGCAAACAATCTATTACCTGTTTACTGTTGCTCGTCCAACTGCGCATGTTGAAGCCGGCGTGTCCGTGAATTTCAGTAATATTTTTTATTAATTCAATTGCCTCACCTATAGAAGTCGTTGAATGTAAACAATCGTCCATGTAATGATTATTTAAAATAACTTTAACTGCGTCTGGATATAAATCTTCGTACATGGATGCATTTTTATTTTTGACATATTAAGTTATAAAGGGTGAGCACGCCGCGCCAAATATTAAACACTGCATAACACAAACCTTGATCGGAGCATCGTCGCCAGCAGTGGGGTCCTTCCATAAGAAGCGAAAGACATGTTGATTATCAGGCCTTGTCTTTATCCGTAAAAACATATCCTTTATGTCGCCGATGATAACCACTGGATGTGTGCGGAACCGCAACATTATTCCAAACAAAGAATTATATAAGTCGGGACCTGTTAACAAAAAATCATTAAAACATAAACCACTGACCTTAGCCGCTGCGTCGAACAATAATCGCAACTTCCCAGGCTTATTAGGATTCTGTACACCAAAGTGTGGTAAATACCAGACATTACCCGATGACTGCTCGCAGCCTTTAATTTCCCTCGCATAACCTTCGTCGAACAATTTTTTAATCTCTCTGCTGTACCTGTTAGCATAATCCCTATTGTTGTTAAACTTTTTGTTTAATGAAATCATTCGAGACAAAGCATTATCGTAGGAATAAATAAAACAGGCAAAATAAATTCGACACTCTTAAATGGTAAACAAACTTCGTATTGTTCATTTACTTCCCGAAAAGATTTATCTAAAATATCAACCGCACGATTGTGATCTTTATTCTCACGGCGTAACGGCAATATTCCAATCGAATCTATAGCGAAAGATTTTGTTATTAAATCGTTAAGCTCCTCGCCGTCGGAGTGAGCGAGATAGAAGATACTACGAGAGGCGGGAGTGTGAGTGCGACCGCTGTAGCCGTGAATAGACTAACCTAACTTGCATCGAGTTGCATAAGGTTCATTTTTGCTGCCACATATTATTTGTAATGGTGCAATAACATGATAATTATCTTCGCCTATTAACAATTTCGGAATTACATTTTTCTTTACAGACATAGCCCTTTATACTTGTTAAATGTTTACAATTAATGTTACTTATAACAGACAAATTTTGCATAGGTAAATTAAGCTTTGAAACTTTACGAAATTGAATTTTACAATTATAAAAATGATTACTATCTGTACTGCTAATGTCCGTCGTAACCTTAGGCGTGTCCGCCTGATACACTTCTATACCGAATGCGTCGACGAATCTTACCGCACTAGATTCGCTAGCCACTAGGCCTAACTGGTCGGCTAGGTTCGCGTCTATCACTGACACCGAGGCACCATCGTCCAGTAAGGCATGCGTTATAAGTTCAACTCCGGACGGACCGCGTAATTTTACTCTCACCACTTTTAACAACACTTCGTCGCGCGATGTCTGGATCCCATAGCTAGGTGGTCCACCGCGGCGGACGACGGCGACTGCGCCGGCGGGAACTCCGGAGGAGCGGGCGGTGCGCGCTGACTAGGCGGCGCGGGCGAACGCGGGCGAGCGGCGGCTCGCGCGTCGGCCGGCGCGTGCACAGCTGGTTTATTAAAATGTAATAAGCGATGGTGTGGAAGTCCGCAGTTATCGACGTCGCATGGCGGTGCATTGCATTGCATGGCGGCGCTGTGCCGTCGTTGTAAACAAACGAAGCAAAGTCTTTGCGATTTGATAAAGTTCCATCTGTTTCGCCGTAATGCACGCCGAAATATTCGACAATCCGTTAATTTATGTACGGATTTATTACAAAATTTGCATATCTCATTGGCGTCTTCTTCTTCTTCTTCTTCTTCTTCTTCTTCTTCTTCTTCTTCTTCTTCTTCTTCTTCTTCTTCTTCTTCTTCT